CTCTGAACCTGTTTTTCAGTCTGTTAAGTGGCTCCCCGCCATGGGAGGCTCTGTGAGGGCACGCTGTGAAGGGCAATGGTGAGCAGCACTGGGTGACCCCTGTCACCTCACCCCTTGCTGCTTTCTGCCTTCCAGGGCTGCCAGAGGAACCCGACCAGAACCTGTCCAGCCCTGAGGAGGTGTTCCACTCTGGCCACTCCCGCAACTCCAGCTATGCCAGCCAGCAGTCCAAGATCTCTGGTGAGTGGCTGCCTGGCCCTGCCCCTGCGGCCTCCTCCTTCCTCGGGATCCCCCATTATGACGCTCCCCTGCGGCGCCCCCAACAGGCTACAGCACAGAGCACTCACGCTCCTCCAGCCTCTCAGACCTGACGCACCGCCGCAACACGTCCACCAGCAGCAGCGCCTCTGGGGGCCTTGGCATGACTGTGGAGAGCCCTGAGGGCAGTGAGCGGGAGCACCGGGCCCCGGAGAAGCCACCACGGCCACCCCGGCCCCTGCATCTGTCCGACCGCTCGTTCAGGTGAGGCCTACTGCTTGGTGCCCCCTGGAGAACAGACCCCTCCCAGCGGTGCCTTGAACCTCCGCTTGAACCTCTGTGTTACCTACCTGTAACACAGGGACCATAGGGTCCCCAACTCAGTGGATTGGGTGGTGATGATTCCACCAACTCATGGCCCTGAAGGGTGCAGCCATGCCCGGCATGCAGCAGGTTCTGTTCATGGCTGCTGTTGTGGTTTTGCGGATCGGACAAGAGCACAGTCTGTGGGCCTGACAACTGGGCTAAGCCTTAGAGCTACTCCTTATGCGCTGGATGGCCTTGGAAAACTGACTTACCTGCTCGTTGCCTGGCATCCTCGTCTATAAAACCGGCTCATGATGGCAGCTGCACCCTATTGTGCACTCAGGGGTTCAGTGGAGCACAGCACGGAGCACACAGGGGCATTCTGAGCACTGCTGCAGCTGGCCGGCATTATTGTCGTGGTTTTGTGCTTGCGCCTGTTACTGCCCTGACCATTGTGACTTGCCCCCCAAAATCCGACCCAGGCGGAAGAAGGACTCGGTGGAGAGCCACCCGACCTGGGTGGATGACACGAGGATCGATGCGGATGCCATCGTGGAGAAGATCGTGCAGAGCCAGGACTTCACGGATGGCAGCAACACCGAGGGTGAGCCGTGCCGGGCTGGTGGGGGCGAGGCCACCTGCTCCAAGGGCTAGCCCTGCCCCGCTTAGCCTCCATCCTCCCCTGTGTTCCCACAGACAGCAACCTCCGGCTGTTCGTGAGCCGTGATGGCTCCGCCACGCTGAGCGGCATCCAGCTTGCCACCAGGTAGGGCAGGCTTAGGGAGGGGTCGTCGGGGTGGCTGGGGCTTGGGGGTGAGAGCAGAGTCCCCACAGTCCACTCACCTGGCCTTGAATGCCAAGTCTTGTCGCCACAGTGTGACCCTGGGCCTGTCATGTCTGAAGCTCCCTTTCCCCATCCGTCAGGCAGTGTGGACACCACCACCTCACCTGGGAGCCTGGGGCAGTGAGGGCACGGACGGGTTCGGTCAGTTCCCATGGTTCATAGGGTCGCCTCAGGTGGTGCCTGGCACAGGGCTCGGCACATGGCAGGAGCCACACAGGTTTATTTAGAATCCTCCCTTCCCCTTCCTCCCAGCTCCAGGGACTGGGAACAATGGTGGTGGTGATGCCTCATGGGTTTACTGAACAAATCTTTCCCTAGCACCATCTAGGCACCAGGCCCTGAGCGAAGGCCTGGTTTAACGCAGGCTGCTGCCTACACGGCATCCACAGATGGCGGGGATAGATGAGACCAAACTTGCAGGAACTACAGTTTATAGAGTCTATGCCGCGTCACAGGCATTCATTCGGAGCATGTTGACTGTGTGCCTGGCTCTCCATGTGCTTTTGGCTCACCGAATGAACGAGCGAGTGAGCAAATGAGCTTCCCACCGGCAGGCTGCTGAGGGCAGGTGGGGAGCCTGCCTAACATCCACATCCCCAGGGAAGAGACATGGCCAGGCTGCTGCGCCGAGGCTGCCCTTTCACGCTGCTCTGCTGACTCCTGCTGGCCACAGCCTGGAATGGCAGCCGTTACCTTGCAGTAGTCTTCCTGGGCTGCTCTGGGGTGGGGGTGGGGGAGCGGTGAGCAAGAAGGAAACTGAGGGGCTGGCTTCCTTAGGGGTTTGTAAACACACCCCTCCCTGGCCCCCTCTGAAAATGAGGAAGCATCTCCGGGAAAGAAACCAATCTGGTTGGGAGTGAGATCACAGCAGAGCTACATGCTGAGCCCCAAGAGTCCCCGACTCCAGGACTCTGCCTGGGCTCAGCAGGGAAAGGAGCTGACCAGGTTTCCTGACTTCCCACTGCCCTCTTGGCCACCCTCACATCCCTCTGAGCCTCAGTTTCTTCACCTGTCAAGTGGGGCAGGGTCTGCCAAGGTGACTGTGAGGATGGCGTGGCACAGCCAGACGTGCCTGGAAGTGCTCTGCAGGCCCCACAGACTGATGTTTACTATCTCTGTCACTGTGGGCAAGGGACTTACCATCGCTGGGCCTTGGTTTTGGCCCCTTTGCAACACAGGGCTGGTTAACAGCACCTGCTTGTGAAACACCTCCAAAGGCCTGGTCCAGTGGAGCGCTCAGGACATGGGACATTGGGGGGGACATGCTGACCTGTGTCTCACCTGCAGGGTCTCTTCTGGGGTCTACGAGCCAGTTGTGATTGAAAGCCATTGAGGAGCAGGTGTCCGGGCTGGAGAAGAGTACTGCTTTCTCTGGAGTCCAGACCCGCATCATTCCACGAGGAACGTTCCCCTTCAGATCACCTCTGCGCCACATCTCCTCCATGCCTCCTCCATGCACTCCAGTCCACACTGTCCCCCTAGCATCATTCCATTGCCCTCCCCTCCATGCTGGGACCCTCCTGGCCCACCAAGGCCCAGGCACCACTGTGAATATTCTCCTCTGAACCACTAGAGGGCAGGCCAGGCGGGCCAGGCGGGCCCATACAGCTCGTGGACAAGAAGGAGCTGGCCAGGACTGTTGCTGCCAGAGACTGACCCGGCTCTCTGGCTGAGGACATGCAGCAGCTCCTAAATGTAGAGATGCCTGTGACTGAGGGACTTCTCTACCTGTGTCCCCACTCACTCCAGGAGCATTGGCTTTGGTCACGTCTTAGCAGCAGGGCCTTGCTCCATTGTTCCCTTGCCCTGGTGGTGGGGGGCCAGACTGCCTCCAGAATCCTGCACCTGTGACTGTCTGACTGCTTAGTGCTTCAGCTGTCCCTTCCTGTGTCCTGGGGGACCTGCTGGCGGCCTCTTCCTGGGAGCCATGACCTCACACCCCACCCACACTCCAGATCGAGACCCCTGCCTCCCCCGGCGAAAGTCCTCCCGCTGCCTTGCAGCCTGCACTTTGCACATGCTCACCCCCAGCACAGTCCCGCTGGCCCCTCACCTCCCCTTCCCTGGGCCCCTTCCCAAAGACTCCTGGTCACTGCCTGCTGTGCAGTCAGAGGCCCAGGGTCCAGCAGCCCGGCGGGAACGGGTGCTGCCTCTCCTCCCTCCAGTTAGCTCCAGCTCAGGTCTGAGACCTGTGCTGAGAAAGGTCTGAGCACTGACGGTGCCCTCTGCCCAGGGCTGGGTCCTGAGCAGCTGATTTTCCTGCAGGAAGGTTGGAGCAAGCAAAGTCCTTCTCTGCCCTCAGGGTCAGCTGCCCAGACTGGGGTGGATGCCAGAGAGGCAGGTGGGCTGTGGCTAGACTGGTCCGGAGCTGGCTTCATTGCCAGAAAAGCCTCAGCCTTCCTCTGTAAGCATCCCCCGTTCTGGGCAAGGGGGAAGGGCTCCTTTAAGGGGTGTGCTTTCCCAGCGGGGAGCAGTCTGGCCCTGCCCCCTACTAAAGCCTCTGCTCTCAGCACTTTCCCCCAAGTCCTTGTAACTTGCTTGAAGGTGGGTTCTGGCTGCCAGCCAGTCCCTGGACAAACTCTCCTGCCCCTTTAAAATTTCACTCGTTTTGTATAAACCCAGCAGGCTGGTGTTTACTTAGCCCTGTAGCTTTTTTCATTTTTTCTTTCCTTCTTTCTTCTTGAGTTCACGGTTCAATATTGTCTCCTCCCCCAGGTGAGGGGAGGTGCTGCTTTTCTGCCCCACTTGCCGGCTGGTTCCAGCAGTGCTGGGGCCCAGCTGGGGGGCCGGGATGGGGGCTTCTCTCTCTGGGAGGGGTGCAGGTGCCCTCCCCAGACGGGGAGGGTTCCTTCCCTAGTTCCCCGTCTTCCCTTGCTGGTGAGAGTTGGGCTGCTTGGTCTTGGAACTCCCTGGCATTGGGACCAGAGCATTTCTAGCATTTGTTGTTGTTTTACTCACCTAACCCTTAGAAAATGAATGTTAGAAGGTGCCTGCCGAGGTGGGACAGAGTGTTTACTCGGGCTAGAGAAGGCTCTGCTCAGCCCTGAGAGTCCCTTCCTGCCCCACAGATACTGGCACTTTAAAAAGGAAGCTGACCGCACTGTGTCCAGATGAATTCGCCCCCAGAAGATGGGGGGAGTTCTGTCCTGCCCTTCTGTGTCTGTGTGACCTCACCCAGCCTAGGAGGGAGGTGCATTCAGGGTAGATTTGCCTCTCATTCAAAGTTCTGGGGCTTTGGGCAGAAAATAGCTGGCTTTGGTGCTGTTGGGGAGACTCCTCCAGACCAGGAACACCGGAAGGAGACAGAGCCTGCCACATCCTCCCACGCCAGGCCCTGGGCCAGGGTGATGGGACTGAGAATTCGGCCACAACCAAATTGATGCTGGCTGGAGCCAGAGGCCAGAAAGCCTGGCTTTGTTGTTCCCATGTGGGAGCCCTGTCCTCAGCCCTCCTGTCCCCTTGAGCTCAGTGAATTCCCACCAGGCGCCCACAGCTCCTGGACTTCAAGTTCTATATATTGAGAGAGATGGAGAGTATATCGGAGATATTTTTGGAAAGGAATTGGTCTATGCAATGTCAGATTGGAATCTTCTTGAAAGTTTAACGTTTTTATTAGGAGATTTAAAAAATAAAGGTCTACAATATGTTTAGGGTTTTTTTTTTTTCTTTTTTTTTCTTTCCTGTTTACTGCACAAACTGACCACATGGCATGTCTGCCAGGATGGAGGGTGTCCATGTTCTCTGTCTTTAGGGAGGTGATCAAGGAGGTGGGGGGAGGTGTCTTTTTTTTCTTTGAGTCCCCTCCTTTCTAACAGAATGTTGACACCACTACTTGACTGGGCTGTGTTTGTTCCTCTGTCCCAGCTTCTGTTGTAGAAAATAACATTGTTAGGGGAAATCAGCCTAGTGTCAGTGTCTTGGTTTGAGGGGAAAAAATTAAATGTTTCGGTTTTTGTTTCTTTTGCTGTTTTGTTTTTACCTTGTTACTTTATCATATTGACTTTAGGGTCAAAGGCAACATCAGAAGGAAGTCAGATATGTATAGTGACATTCCAGGGGTGGGGAAGATGTAGGGGTCCAGGGTTCTCCCGGTCCTGGCTACAGGCACAATCATCACCACCTTCATCATTCCAGATTCCTGAGGAGGAAACAGAAGGCCGTTACCTGCCAGCCTCATACTGAGCGAAAGCTCTGTCCTCAGGGCCAAGTTCTAACCACTGCCCTGTAGACCTTCTCTGCAATCAAGTGGCCTCTAAGGAGCATGCCTGAGGACAAATAACTGTGCCTGTTTCCTCACCTGCAGATGGGGTTATCAACCGGAGTGTGCAGCCTGACCTATAGGAGGTGTGAATGTGTTCCCAAACTAAAGCCCCAGGCTGCCATCGTTTACAGGCCCAGGCTTGCCCTGGGCCCCTCACCCCTGTTTCTGACCCTCCCAAGTCGCTCTGGGACAGGCAAGTCACTCTGGGTCTTTAATGAGCTTGGAGGTGGCAGGAAGCTACAATGGTACTGGCCAGGCCAGGAGGAATCAGGCCACCAGGGCTCCATCTCTATCCCAGGATAGCATTCACCCCACTCCTCAGGGCTGACCCCCACTTACGGCCTCTTTAAACCCTGAAGGCGGATTCTGCCCCTTCCTCTGTTATATGCACAACCGGGGAGGGAGGTAAAAGTGGGCTCCTAGCTGAGCCCAAAGTCTCCTGAGAGATAAGGGAAAAGAATCGGATTGTAGGTTTAAAAATGTTGCTCTTGGCCAGGCGCAGTGGCTCACGCCTATAATCCCAGCACTTTGGGAGGCTGAGGCTCTAGGAGGCAGGTCACCTGAGGTCAGGAGTTTGAGACCAGCCTGACCAACATGGAGAAACCCCATCTCTACTAAAAATAGAAAAATTAGCTGGGCGTGGTGGTGACTGCCTGTAATCCCAGCTACTCAGGAGGCTGAGGCAGGAGAATCACTTGAACCCAGGAGGCAGAGGTTGCAATGAGCCAAGATTGTGCCATTGCACTCCAGCCTGAGTGACAGGATGGGCTTCCAACAAACCAACGAGATAAATGCCAGAGGGAGTGAACCATGCCAGGCTCAGAGTACATCTCTCCCCAAACCCCTCAGGTGGGGACAGCAGGCCAAAGGCCTCCACATAACCCCTCAGGGAGGCCTGGAGTCCAGATGCTATACTCCAGGATCTAAACAATCACTGAATTTTAAAGCTGGCTGGTTCAAAACTCTTACTTTGGGCCGAGCGCGATGCTCACACCTGTAACCCAAGCACTTTTGGAGGCTGAGGTGGGCGGATCACCTGAGGTCAGGAGTTTGATACCAACCTAGCCAACACGGTGAAAACCCATCTCTACTAAAAACGCAAAAATTAGCTGGACGTGTTGGCACGCGCCTATAGTCCTAGCTACTCGGGAGGCTGAGGCAAGAGAATCACTTGAACCCAGGAGGCGGAGGTTGCAGTGAGCTGAGAACACGCCACTGCACTCCAGCCTGGCCGACAGTGAGACTCCCATCTCTGGGGGAAAAACAAAAAAACAAAAAAAACCTCTTACTTTGGGCCAAGCCTCCACGGGGTGCCAGGGATACGGCAGCAATCTCAGATCCTACCCTCAGGGAGCTGACAGGGCCGGATGAACAAGTGTGTCAGTGAATTAAAAGGCACAGGAGGCTGGGCACGGTGGCTCACGCCTGTAAACTTTTGGAGGCCGAGTTGGGAGGATCGCTTGAGCCCAGGAGTTCGACACCAGCCTGGGTAACATAGAACTCCGTCTCTAAGAAAGAAAAAAAACCCTTCCCAGCTGGCTTCCCTGAGGAACGTGGCGTCCCAGTGAGGCTGGATGGATGAGGAGCAGCCGGCCGGTGAGTGGTGGGGGCCCGCGTTCCTATCTCGGAGCTGAAGAAGCGTGGAAGATGATCTGGCCCAACATCCCTTTGTTCTCAGAGGAAGGATCCTCCAAGATCGGGGAGGGGCCTGTGCGTGGGTTCTGGTCCGAAACATGTCTGGGCTGCTGCGAGAGGCAGCCGGTGAAGGAAAGGAGGGGACATCCAGAGGGTGGCCCAGGAGGCCAGGCGATGGTGAGGAGGGCGTCCCCTCTCCACCAATCCAAATCCTCCCCATTCATGCGGGCTGGGGACAGACCCTCCCCCGCCCATCCTAGGCTGAAAAGTGAACATTCTCTGCGCCTCTCCCACCTACAGACTAGTTACGGCCCCCCAGTTCCCGTGTCGGCTTCACCACTGACTCGGATTGGGATCTACCTTTCTCTGAGCCTCGCTTTTCCCATCTGAAAAATGGAACTTCCGATCCCGCACTCCCATCTCACTCTGACCCCAGGACTTTGGGATACTTAGAGATTGGCTTTTGGTGGGGCGGCGACAGGACTGTGGCCATGAAGGCCAGGGAGTCTGGGTCCCCAACTCGGTCCCATTCCCTAGGGAGATTCGGGCAGCAACCGGCCCCACAATGCTCTTGAGAACTACACTTCCCCGATATGCAAAGGGGAGGAGGCGGTTCCTGCTAGTCTCCGACGACGTGGGCCTGAGCCGGCCTGGGGACTACGACTCCCGGCGCGCTCCGCAGCCCAAAGCCGGAAAAGCGTGAATCCGGAACCGGATGTGGCTTGCGGCTCCGGTGACTGAACGCGCGGGGAAATGGTGAGATTGGGACAGAGTGCCGGAGATAGGGGCGTCTGGGGGTGGGGTCTCGGGTGCTCAGGAGCTGGGGCATGGGCACTGGAACGGGGATTGCTCTCCCGCCCCCCTTATTGTACGGACGATAACGCGGAGGCCTGGCATTCTCTCCCAGCCTAGAAACTGATCCCTAGTCAGCCCTCTAGCATCTGTGTTTTGTTTTTTTTTTTTTTTTTTGAGACGGAGTCTCGCTCTGTCGCCCAGGCTGGAGTGCAGTGGCGGGATCTCAGCTCACTGCAAGCTCCGCCTCCCGGGTTCCCGCCATTCTCCTGCCTCAGCCTCCCGAGTAGCTGGGACTACAGGCGCCCGCCACCTCGCCCGGCTAGCTTTTTGTATTTTTTAGTAGAGACGGGGTTTCACCCTGTTAGCCGGGATGGTCTCGATCTCCTGACGTCGTGATCCGCTCGTCTCGGCCTCCCAAAGTGCTGGGATTACAGGCTTGAGCCACCGCGCCCGGCCTCCTCTAGCATCTGTTGAATGGGAAGCTTAGACCGTGATCGGGCCGCGACGCCCCGCCTCCATTAGTACGCCAAAATAGAGAGTCACTTCGTCAGCTGAGACCTCCCTTTTCTCCAGGCCACGGGGACAGACCAGGTGGTGGGACTCGGCCTCGTCGCCGTTAGCCTGATCATCTTCACCTACTACACCGCCTGGGTGATTCTCTTGGTATGTCATTCTCCCCGTCCGCTGCTCACCTTCCCGTAGCCCTGGCACCGCCAAAGCAACTTCTATGTAGGTTCTAGGCACGGCGCTGGCTTCATTGCCTGCCTTATCTCTTGAAATCTTCAAAACAACGCTATGAGGAAGATGCCAGTGGTGCCGCATTTTTTAGATGAGATAGCTGAGGCTCGGGGAGAAGGATCTGGCCCAAGATTGCATCCTTAGCCGCTACACTTAAAACTCTGTTTCCAGCTTGCTTTGACTTTTGGGGGAGTTATGTTCCTTCTGGGTTAGCCTGCTGACTCAGGCATGGCGAGCGCCAGTGATATCTGTGAAGGCCTTTAGGATATTTTTTTCTTGTGGGAAAACGTGTTGGTCATTGCTTAAGAAGTGCAGTGTGTTTGGAAGTGCAGAACTTGCTATCCTTTAGGGAAAAAATATTAGTGAAGAATCCCTGGAGGCCCAGGTTGGGAGTCAGTCGAGGATTCCTCATGTACTATTTGCTAGCCTGTGAGTGCCTTAGGGCTGGTCTCTTGTCCCCTGTTCTCTTGTCCCCACCACCAACCTATGGCAGGCACCAAAGCAAGTGCCCGGTAAATACCAATAAGAAATTAAGGAAGGAAACAAACCATGACACCCAAATGCCATAATCTTAAAGAAAAGCAAATGCAGGCCCAGTGCTCTGAATGGGCCAGCCCCTTAGATGCTGGAGGTGGTGTGTTTGGGCTTGGGGGCTGGGCAAGGCGAGCAAGGCTCACCAGAGCTCTGCCCTCGATGCCAGCCATTCATCGACAGTGAGCATGTCATCCACAAGTATTTCCTGCCCCGAGCCTATGCTGTCGCCATCCCACTGGCTGCAGGCCTCCTACTGCTCCTGTTTGTGGGTAAGTCATCACTTCCTCCCCTTGACCCCGGGCAGGGTTTCGGGGGGACCCCACCTCTGAACATGCTTCCACACTTTGGCACTGCTGGAAGCTCCTTGCCCCGAACTCACCCCTGGGGTTTTCCTGTTCATCCTTCGAGGTTGCCAGTCAGTAACCTCTGGGTTTCCTGGTGCCCCAGGCTTTTTGGACTCCAATGACCTGTCCCCCTCTTTCCTGCCCCCAACCCCATCATTGCTCTGCTCACACCTCAGTCACCCTCTTGTCACCCTGGCTTCTAATTCCTGCACCTCTCTCTCTCATGGCTTCCTAGGGGCGGGGACTGTGTCTCCATCATTACTGTGCATCTAGAATGGGCTGTGGCACTGAGGTTGTGCTCAGAAAGTCATTTGGATGAGTCAGTCAATAGCCGGGTGCCTGGATGATGGGTGGATGGATGGGTGGGTGGGTGAGGTATAGGAGGTGGGTAGGTATATAGGTGGACAAGTGGTTGACTGGGTGATCTATAGATGGGTGGATCTTGTTCCCCTTGGAATCTGAAACACTAAATGCAGCATGTTTGCCTGAGGCAGGCACTCAGCTGGTGTTTGTTGAATGAATGTGAGTGGACCTATGGCTTGACGAATGACTAGGGAGATAAGCAGGTTCCCTGGAGAGTGGTTGGGTAGGTTCACAGCCCTGCGTGTGGGTGGCTCTGCTGTGTCGTGCCCTGGCCTCCCAGCAGCCCTGAGCTTAGATCCTATGTGGCCTTTCTGGTCTATGTATTCCAGGACTGTTCATCACCTACGTGATGCTGAAGAGCGAGAGGGTGACCAAGAAGGCTCAGTGAAGGTCCCGCGGGGATGAGGCTGCCAGCCCCTTCTCTGCTTCCCCTCCAGCACAGGGACCAAGTAGGGGAGCCTGCAGAACCTGTCCAGGCACAGTGGCGCCTCCAGCCTGCCTGTCCTGCAGAGTCCCCATGACATGGAGCTCACCCCTGCCTGACCGGAGCCCCCTCCCTGACTCTCACTTCCAGAAGCTAGGAGGGAGGAATACCTGGAAGACTCCAGTCACCCCCTTCTTGCTCAGGGCCTAAAAGATGCTGGTCTCCCAACCTCACTCTCAGACTCCCTGCCACCTTTTCCCCCGGGTTCTGCCATGTTGCCTCACTTCCCCTCCTGTCACATGCTGACATTGGACTTAGCGGGTTCTAGGGCCGCATGTGTGACCTCTCTGACCTCCCTCCACAAGTCCTGCTCCTCCAGCAAGGCAGCTTTCCTTAGCCTGACATAGCCCAAGACCCCGCAAAGCCTTCTGGACCTGGAACGCCCGGGGAAGGACTGACAGACCCCAGGACCAGCCCTGGGCCTCAAGGCATATTAGCTGCTGACCGATCGCTCCTCATGGAGCTCCCCAGGGCTGGCCTGTTTGGGAGAGCTGACCAATAAACACTGATCATGTGTTTGTCTCTGTGCTGTGTTTACCCAGGGTCGGGGCTGGAGCGGGCTGGGAGTGGTCTTGGGTCAGGAGATCCTGTACAGTGGGGTTGACTCAGGGGCCTTCTGCCCTGACCCCGTGCGCTGGGGATAAAGCAGGGACTGGGAGAGATGTGCTTCCTACCCAATGGAGCTCACAGCTGGGAGTCATTGAAGGCCCTGGCACCCCTGTGCCATGCCTCCTCTGTGCCAGCTTGGGCAGGTTGGATTTATTACTTTAGGGACCCTTGGGCCACTCCCCTAAAAGCCCCACAGCCCAACTTAACGTGGCCCTGAGCAGCGAAGGCTGCTGTGTGTTCAGATTGGCTGGACTGGCCCAGCCCCTAGCCCTCCAGCAGTCCCACCGCACCTGGGCAGCTGGCTCTCCCATTTGCCACCGCACCTGGTATAAACCCCCATTCCTCAAACCCGGGACCCCCACTCTTCTTCCAGTTGGCAGAGGTATCTTCCTCATCACAGAGAAAAAAGAGGCCAACTGCAGACACCCGCCCTGTCCCTACCTGCTCCATACTCTGTCCTCCAGTCCAGGCAGAGCTGCCTCCTTGGGCTCTGGATCCTAATCCACCAACCTCCAACTACTATAGTGGGAGCCTGAGGTCACAGATGGCCCCACCCTGTTGTGAGAAAAATCTCCACAGGATTCTCCCACTGTTTCCTAAGTGTGCTCGGGGATCCCACTTACAGGCCCTCTGTCAACCCAATAGTTCCCACTAAGTGTCTCCCTCTGTCCATTTCACCACCAAGCTTCCCCAAAGGGGGTCCACATCTGCCTCCTGCATTTCCTCACCTCCTGCCACACTCAGCATCTGTCCCCATCTCCAGGCAGGCTCCAGCCACTGAGGCCACCAGCAGTGTCCACTCTATTTTTTTTTTTTGTGACCAAGTTTCGCTCTTGTTGCCCAGGCTGGAGTGCAATGGCATGATCTCAGCTCACTGCAACCTCTACCTCCCGAGTTCAAGTGATTATCCTGTCTCAGCTTCCCAAGTAGCTGGGATTACAGGCATGTGCCACCACACCGGCTAATTTTGTATTTTTTGTACAGACTGGGTTTCTCCATGTTGGTCAGGCTGGTCTTGAACTTTTGACCTCAGGCTATCCGCCTGCCTTGGCCCCCCAAAGTGTTGGGATTACAGGCATAAGCCACCATGCCCAGTTGATGTCCCTTTTTTTTTTTTTTTTATTTTTATTTTTATTTTTTTTGTAGAATCCCTCCACTGAGGCAGTCCGATCTGCTCCTGAGCCCCCCTGGCCATTCCGCTCGCCTGTGGACACGCCCCCCCCGCTTGTATTTTTAGAGCGTTCACCGGCTGATCCCGACTGTCCCCTCGGCCCAGTCTGATACACTGCCCTGCCACTCTTTAAATCCAAAGGATGTCTGCTTGACTCTCAGCTGCATTTGGCCTGTGACATCCCCTGATCCGCTGTCAGCCACTTTCTTGATGTCTGTGATGACCATTCTTTTTGTTTGTTTGTTTGTTTGAGACAGAGTCTCTCTCTGCTGCCGGGGCTGGAGTGCAGTGGTACGATCTTGGCTCACTGCAACCTCTGCCTCCTGGGTTCAAGTGATCCTCCTGCCTCAGTCTCCCTAGTAGCTGGGATTACAGGCGCCCGCCACCACGCCCAGCAAATTTTTTTGTATTTTTAGTAGAGATGGAGTTTTGCCTTATTGACTAGGCTGGTTTCAAACTCCTGACCTCAGGTGATCCGCCTGCCTCAGCCTCCCAAAGTGCTGGGATTACAGGCATGAGCCACCATGCCGGACTGTGATGACCATTCTGCTATTTGATGTCTCACTCATGCTGTCTTCTGCCACGTGATGCTGGGCTCCTCAGGGATGTGTCACAAGCCTTCTCACTCTTGCCAGGCTCACCTCTGGCCTGATGCGTTGCACATGGCCCAGCTGCCCACCTGACATCCTCATCGGATGCCATGGTGGGAACCTCAAATGCATTCTCTCATGAGCTGAATTCTCATACTTCTCCCAGATCTGGCTCTCCTCCTCATGCCTTGCCCCCTCTAGTGACTGGTGTCCCATGTCCTTAACCTGGCTTTCTTCCTCATCCCCCCATCCACAGGACCCCAAGCTTTATCAATCCTCCCCTTTTCTCCCGGCCTCCAGCCACCTTCCTGATGCAAAGCCACCATCCTCTGCCCTAAGTCACAGATGGCTTCCTCACCACTTCTGCCCACTGTGGCCCCACCAGTCCAACTATGCATAACAACGAGTGCCCTTCAAAAATGTGCACCTTGACCAGGCACCGTGGCTCATGCCTGTAATCCCAGCACTTTGGGAGGCCAAGGTGGGTGGATCACTTGAGGTCAGGAGTTCGAGACCAGCCTGGCCAACATGATGAAACCCCGTTTCTACTAAAAATACAAAAATGGCTGGGTGTGGTGTCTCACGCCTGTAATCCCAGCACTTTGGGAGGCTGAGGCGGGTGGATCACAAGGTCAGGAGATCAATACCATCCTGGCCAACATGGTGAAACCCCGGTTCTACTAAAAATACAAAAATTAGCTGGACGTGGTGGCGCATGCCTGTAATCCTAGCTACTCGGGAGGCTGAGGCAGGAGAATTACTTGAACCAGGAAGTCGGAGGTTGAAGTGAGCCGGGATCGCACCACTGCACTCCAGCCTGGCAACAGAGAGAGACTCCGTCTAAAAAAAAAAAAAATTAGCCCAGCATGGTAGCACATGGCTGTAGTCCCAGCTCCTTGGGAGGCTGAGGCAGAAGAATCGCTTGAACCTGGGAGGCAGAGGTTGCAGTTAGCCAAGACCGCACCACTGCATTCCAGCCTGGGTGACAGAGCAAGACTGTCTCAGAAAAAAAGAAAAAAAAAATTAGCTGGGCATGGTGACGCATGCCTGTAATCCCAGCTACTTGGGAGGCTGAGGCATGAGAATCGCTTGAACCCGGAGGCAGAGGTTGCAGTAAGCCAAGATCGCGCCATTGCACTCCAGCGTGGGCAACAGAGCGAGATTCTGTCTCAAAACAAACAAAACCCGGCCGGGCGTTGTGGCTCAAGCCTGTAATCCCAGCACTTTGGGAGGCTGAGACGGGTGGATCACGAGATCAGGAGATTGAGACCATCCTGGCTAACACGGTGAAACCCCGTCTCTACTAAAAAATACAAAAAACTAGCCAGGGCGAGGTGGCAGGCGCCTGTAGTCCCAGCTACTCGGGAGGCTGAGGCAGGAGAATGGCGTGAACCCGGGAGGCGAAGCTTGCAGTGAGCTGAGATCTGGCCACTGCACTCCAGCCTGGGCAACAGAGCGAGACTCCGTCTCAAAAAAAAACACAAAACTCTCGCACTTTGGCGCCTCACACTCACGCCCATACCCACAGTACCTCTCTGGGTCCCCACAAGGCGCTGCCTCCCAGCCTGCTCTCCCTTCTTCACTCCAGCCACTCTAGCCTTTCACTTCCTGGACTCGCCAAGGCTCTTTGCACACCCTACTCACCTTGGTCCCATAGACACTCATCCAGCACAGGCTTGTGCCAGGCACTCAGCCAGGAAGCAGGAGTGACATGGCCCCGCTTTCATGGCATTCCCACTCCAAGGGGAGACGTGATAAACAATAAACAAGTCAGTCTCTGACAGTGTTAGGGTGGTGAAGAAAATAGAGGTGATGTGATCAGGAGTGGGGAGGGAGTCTGCTGGAGTCTGGCAAGGCGAGTGGCAGTCTGGGGTCAAGAGTTTCAAGTAGAGGGAATAGCAAATGCAGAGGCCTCAATGGGAGAGTTTGGCGGGTAAGGAACAGGAAGGTCTGGGCGGCTGGGTGGTAAGTGTAGGGTGAGTGGTTTGAGATGGGCCTGGGGTCAGGGTGAGGGGTTTGGGTTTTGTTCCATTGCCATGGGAGCCACTGGAGGCTTTAATCACCAGAGTGACATCATCTGAATTATGCTTTTAAAGATCACGCAGGCAGCTGAGCCCCTCCCTCTCGCTCACCACTAAATCCCCAGGGCCTAGCACTGCTGGCCCACAGTGGGTGTTCAATATCTATGTGTTCAGTGAATGGATGTCCCGACTTTCCTGTGTGACCTAGAGGTAGTGACTTCTTTCTCTAGATCACTCAGTGTTTTCACCCAAAAGACAGGCAAAGGGAATTTCACGCCAGAATGGGTGGGTGGCACAGGATTTAGGTTACTCGTCTCCCCAGGCGGCCCTAGCGACCCGAGTCCCCCAGCCCAGGGCGGAAAATGGGGGTGCTCCCTTCGCGGGACCCCAGCCAACGTCCGGCGGCCCCGCCCCAGCCGGACCGAGGTCTGAAGGATGCTGCAGCCGCGGGGGCGGGACCCGCAGGCCATCGCCAGCGCCTCCCGTGCAGATTGGATGCAGCCGTGGTCGGCGCCACCCGATTGGTCGGCCGCAAGGCAGGGGCGGGGCCTGACTCCTGCAGCGGGGCGGCGGGGAACGCGGCCAAAGCCCGGGAAGCTGCTGCGGGGGCGATGGCTGCGCCGAGCCCCGGGCCCCGCGAGGTAGGTGCGGACCCGAGAGAGGACAGGAGAGGGAAGGGTTGGTGGGCAGGGGTCGGGCCTCCCCTCGGCGAGCGGCGCGGACACGCCCCCATCCAAGCCAGGGAGGGGCCCTGCAGCCGGCGAAGAGCAGGACACGCCCCACACGGGGCACCAGGTATGCCGAGGGGCGGCCTGGCGGAGATCTCTCAGCACTTCCTCAGTTTCCTCATCGGGAAAATGGAGAGGATGCTAAAGCTCCTCCTTCAGGAGGCTGTTAGGAGGTCAAGCTCTCATCCAGTGCGGGGCACACAGTGGATGCCCACTACTGGTGGGCCAGCGGCTATGACCAGCATCGCGCTGGCCCCTCCGTGCTGGCCTGGAGGCGCTCAGCATAGGCGAATGGAATAGTTGTGACTGAATCACCGGCATCACAGCTCCTGTTATCAAGGGCTCCCGTGCAAGGAGCTCAAACTCAACAGTAACAAGAGT